GTGTGAGTAACAACTCAAAAGAAACATTTTCCCATTTCGGTTTACGAGATTTAACATGAGTTTTTTAAATTTAATTTATTTGAATATAAGTGTAAAATTCAAAAAAGAAAATTATATATTTAAAACTATATCAAAAATTTTATAAAATAAGAGGAGATATCACTGTATTATTTAGTCCAATAACAAACAGAAATATATATATAAATTGACTAGAATTTAATTGTGTGAGTAACAACTCAAAAGAAAGTTTATCACGTCTAATTGTGTGAAGTTTGGTGGCTTCTAAATTCATTAGTGTATCTCATACCGGACAATTAGAGAAAAAAGTAATGAGTTTATAAGCTTTTAAGTTGAACAAATAATGATTAGATTCATTCTTTCAGTATGATTTAACTCAAATATCTCATGATTCAGTTCTGTAATTTTTATCCATTTTAAATTCTATCATATTATATTCACAAATTACTATAAATATAAAAAATACTCTGTACAATTTACATATTAAAAATTTTTATATCAAAATATATAGACAAAACCAATTACAATATTAATATTTTATGTCATTCACTAATCAATAAAAACACTCAAGCTAATACTCCCTCCGGCCCTAAAAATACAGGATGTTTTTTTTCATCTGTCCCAAAAAACACTTTTTATTTCTATTAAAAAGTCACTTTTACCCCTTACTTTTTCATACTCTATTTATCACATCATACCTTTTTACTAATAACATATTCATCAAATCTACTTTTACCTATCACATCAAAAGACATTTTTGAAAATTCAATACCAAAATACACTCTCCTTAAATCTTTTTAAAATCAAAACATCTCATGTTTTTAGGACCGAAAGGAGTAGAAGTTAACAAAATGCCATAATAGTAAAGTAATGTAGGGAGTAATTCATCTTGAAATAGATTACAAAAATATTATAGAAATCATCCTAAATAAGACTGAAACATAGAAAAAAATACTAAAATAGTACTTTTTTTTCAAAATAGAAGTTCGTACTGTGGTAATGTGAGCTAATGTGCACTCTACACGTGCTCATTACTATACTTGTTAGTAATGTACATGATCACGTTTGATAATGTAAATGTATTTTAACTCATATTTTAGGAATAAAAATATGGAAATCCTATTTTGGTATACTTTCAATGTTTTACTCCTACTTTAGTCTTTTTTTTTCCAAAATATTACTTCTCTTCAAAAAAATCTGTTTATATTTTTTTGTCAAATTGTGACCCATAGCTTTGATTACAAATAGGGAAAAACATTTTTTTGAAAACATAAAAAAATTAATTATAATGTAAATTCAATATAATTTATAGTCAAAGAATGTTAAAATTTGATTTAAAAAACTACTCACTCTATTCCCAATTTAATTACAATATATTTGTTATCTCCTCTCGATGACTTTTGTTTGTTTGCGCAAATTCATTAACTATTTGATAAAATAAAATATTTTTGTCACCTCTTGTAGTGTAGAACTTTTGACGTAGTCTATTAATATGTACGAGTATTTTTTATTTTTTATCAATATACTGATTTATAAATAAAATAATGTCAAAAAGTGAGATAATTTTCTCTTCGTAAATCTCAATTTGTAATCAAATTAGGGACGGAGTAAAACTCTCCATTGGAGCGCTGTTCTTTTCCCTATATATATATATATATATATATATATATATATATATATATATATATATATATATATATATATATATATATATATATGGTGGTATGTTATCAGTTATGACTCATCTCTGCTGCGCCATCAATGGAGGGGGGCGACCGTGCAGAGGTTCCATTATTACTGAGTTCCGCGCCCACCGGAAAAGAAAACGACATCGCATCCTTCGCCGGCGGCGACATCGAGGTCATCAGTGGAGTCGGGGATTTCTTCCGGGAGTTCTGTGCGGAGTCAAAGAAGCTATGGAACCTCTCCGCCCCGGCCATTTTCACGTCCGTCTGCCAATACTCCATCGGAGCCATCACTCAGGTCTTCGCCGGCCATGTCGGGACCGTTGAACTTGCTGCCGTCTCCGTCGAGAACTCCGTCATCGCCGGGTTCGCTTTCGGCGTCATGGTATGTTAGCCTACCGGCCGTTATATTATACTCCGATCCGTCCCTCTCAACCTTTTTCCTTTTCTTTTTTCATCCGTGCTAAAAAACACTTCTCATTTATATTAAAAAGTCATTTTTACCTCTTATTTTTTCATACCCTACCTATCATACTTTTTTACTAATAATTTATATATCAAATCATACTTTTACCTATCACATCAAAGAGGACATTTTTGGAAATTCATTACCAAAATACACTCCCTTTAAACCCTTCCTCAAAATGAAAACTCCCATGTGCTTTCCGGGAGGGAGGGAATATAACCTTTGACGGCAAGATTTTTCTGCTTTATCATCTCACAGTTAGATTATTTTCTATACTTTCTTGTTCACATCATAAAACTATTACCCTTTTATCAGAAAAAATAATAATCGAGTTTTTTTAGTCATCAGTACTCCGCATTAAAAAAATATTACTCTCTCTCACGATGTATTTCTCTAATTTATCGTTTTAAATCATACTAAATGAATTTTAATTATCAGTTACAATCAATTTTATCAATCTTAATATCATGTAAGCAAATATTTTAAAAAGTACATCTAATAAAATTGTTTCCATACTTATATAAATTAATTATATTATAATTTTCATTTAATAGTGGTCTAAAATTTGTCCGGTTTAAAAACAAGTAAACGAGTTGAAACTGAACAAATTAAATAAAATGTACAAGATTAATGAGCAAATTCACCCAAATTTGTAATAATATCTGAATTGACATTAAAGTCAAGCGTAGAGTGCGTGTAATGTGGGGTTTGGTAAGAGAAATACTCCCACCGTCCCTAAATATTTGTCACACTAGTATTCTGAGGTAAAATATTAAATTTTTTCAATTTATTTTATTTACATATTTGTATAGAAATAAAGAATAAAATTTACATATCAAAAAACTACATGAAAAGTTCTTTGAAATAAGAGAAGTTAAGAATATTTTATTTTATCAAATAACCAATGAAAACGTAGAAATAAACAAAAGTTTCCGCGACTACTGAAAAAGTAAATATTGTAAATATTTTGGGACCGAGGGAGTATTAATTTGACCCAAAAATTTGAGCCCCATCTTGAAGTACTCTACCTTCCAAGTCTTATGACATTCACAATCACAAATACTACCTCCGTCCCAAAAAGATTTACACGTTTTGACTAAAATTGAAATTAAGGGATGGATAATTTTGTGTTGACTTTCCAAAAATACCCTTGATGTGATGGGTAAAAGTAGGATGTGATGTGTAGATTATTAGAATGTGATGTGTAGATTATTAGGGTTTGAAAAAGTAAGAGGTAAAAGTAGTTTTTTAATATAAATGGGTAAGAGATTGTAGGATGTAATTTTTTTGAAAGGTGTAAATCTTTTTGGGACGGATGGAGTATATGATATTGAAATAAGAGGAGATAAGGACTAATGCTAAAGATATAAATAAATAGTTTACAAAATTTATAAATTTGCTTTTTCAACATTTTATTAGAAATAAGATACATTCAAATAATAAAAATATTTTAATTTAAAGTCCTCAAAAAGTAAACTTATGAAGTTTGTAAATTATTTGTCTGTGACTATAACATTTTTGGGAGAAAAACACAATAGAGGAGAGAAAAGTGTGAATTACTTATTTACTCTTGTTCCTACAATTATTACTCTTACTTTTCTAAAAGTAAATATAAATATGTCATTTTACACTAGAATATTTTCTTTTTTGTTACTTTTCTCTTTATTTTGTGTCCATTAAAAGAATAATTATTTTTCTTTCTATTTTCTCTTCATTTTTTCCTTATCTTCATTTTCTTTCTCCTCATTTCTTTTCCACTTTGGTTTTCTTTTCTCATTAAAACAAAGGGTAAAGTCTAGAGTCTTGGTTTTTTCACTTTGGTTTTCGCTTTGTGAATATGTATGTTTTTATTTTTCTAATTACTACTACCTACTTCCTCCATCTCATAAACTTTTTTTCTTTACGTTTTCACGGTCTACAATGCACTTAATTGACTATTACGAGTAGAATTTAATTTCTACGTGTTTATATATATATATATATATATATATATATTAAAATTTGACTGAAAATTATAAAAAAAATAAATTCAATAAGTTTATATATTATGAAACATAATTTTGATCACAAATTCGTTTGACATTTAATTGATCTATTATTATTATTTGATTGGGTGGGGTTCCCATGACATTGGAATCCAATGTCATGGATGACCCGGGGCCGCTCCGATGCCCCGTTCGTAAAATTGACGGTTCCTACCCCCTAACCCCCCCACCCGGCCCCGACCCGAACACACCCCCTACCCCCGTCAATTGCACCCCACAAGTTGATTTTGACTTTGGAGTCAAATTTTGACTCCAAAGTCAAAATCAACTTGTGGGGTACAATTGACGGGGGTATGGGGATGTGTTCGGGTTGGAGCCGGGTGGGGGGTTTACCGGGGGTAGGAACCGTCAATTTTACGAACGGGGCACCGGAGCGGCCCGGGTCATCCCATGACATTGGATTCTAATGTCATGGGAACCTTATTCTATTTGATTTTGATATGGTGAACTAAAATGATCATCAGTTAGGGATGGGAAGTGCACTAGAGACGCTATGTGGGCAAGCATTTGGGGCAAAACAGGTACACATGTTGGGAGTTTACATGCAAAGGTCATGGATCATCCTCAACGCCACAGCCCTAATCCTACTCCCCCTCTACATCTTCGCCGCGCCGGCTCTGAGGTTCATCGGGCAGACGCCGGAGATATCCAAGTCGGCCGGCGTCTTCGCCATCTGGATGATCCCCCAGCTCTTCGCCTACGCGATGAACTTCCCCATCCAGAAGTTCTTGCAGGCGCAGAGCAAGATCTTCGGGATGGCGGCGGTCTCCGCCACGGCCATCGCGGGCCACACCCTCCTCAGCTGGCTCCTCATGCTGAAGCTGGGGTGGGGCATGGCCGGCGGCGCGGCGGTGCTCAACCTGTCGTGGTGGTTCATCGTGGCGGCGCAACTTGTGTACATCTTTAGTGGGAGTGGCGGGGAAGCTTGGGATGGATTCTCCGTTATGGCTTTTCAGAATTTGTGGGGCTTTGTTAGGCTGTCTCTTGCATCCGCTGTTATGCTTTGGTCGGTACATAATTAACTACTCACTCCCTCCCTAAACACAATCACAACACTTTGATCTTTTTAGTGACATTATGAGTTTTTTTTACTACAAATCATAGAAAAAAGTATTTAATTATAATATAAATTAAGTAAAATTAGATTTATTTTAAAGAGTACTTATTTGGTACACTTAAGGCTCACAAAAATTTTGTGGACATTTTTACATAAAAATTAATTTTTTATTTTTTTTAAAATAAAAATGTTTATCTCAACATTAAATAAATGCTTATTAGCTACATTTGTAGGTACACGGTAGACCTTAGCTCTATGTAGAATTTGCCTACTTTAAGATATACTTTTTCCATTTCTTAAAGCATTCTCTTTAATTTTTTTCCTTTTCCCGAAGTATTTATACTTTTTATTAAAGAAACCACTTTTTTTACCCTACCTCTCACATTATACTTTTTCACTAATAATATATTCATTACATTTTACTTTTTTACACATTACATAAAAGGTAAAATTAGAAAGTCAAACACAAATATATATACTTCTTATTTCTCTCATTAGTCGAAATAGGAATCGTTTTAAGAAATAGAGGGAATAGTTTTGAAATATCAATTTTTTATAATATGAAGTATATTTATGTATTTCAAATTCTATTTAATTTATGATCAAATAATGCCACAATTTGATCAAAAAAGTGAAATTGTAATTATCTTTTAGCGATGAAAAAGTATATTTATAGACTGAAGGCGAATATATATATATATATATATATATATATAT